TGGAGAGCTCTCATAGAGTACAGCCCTATACTTCTGCGCTCTGAATCGAGAACCGGGCCCATCCGTGGAGAGCTCTCATAGAGTACAGCCCTATACTTTTGCGCTCTGAATCCATCGAGAACCGAGTCCATCCATGGAGAGCTCTCATAGAGTACAGCCCTATACTTCTGCGCTCTGAATCGAGAACCGAGTCCATCCATGGAGAGCGCTCATGAGGGCGCCCAGATATGAAAAGCATCAACACCACCAAAACCACAGAGGAAACCTATGAGAAAAATATATCCAAGGGGCTGTCTGCTTTGATTTTTGTCCACAATTTGAGAGAATGCGAAGAAAGTTCTGCATCACAAGCTGAGCGCGCCGAGAGATTTACGAAAACTATCACAAACATGGCAGAACCATGAACGACGAGCCTAAAAACCCACACAATCTCTACAGTAAAAACAACAACGCCCTCACTTCTTCCGCACCGCCTTGGAGCTGGAAGCAGCGCCTGCCATCGAACCTCGGAGAGGTCGAAGCCTCGAGGAGTCCTTCTTGTAGTGTTTCTGCAGAAATTAGAGCACTACCTAAGAGACTGAAAAGCCCCACCACGCGCAGGCCCTTCGGTGTGTAGTTCTTGCCGGACCAGACGCGTTGCGGCAGCTTTCCACCATCCAACCCCAAGCCATAAAGCAAGGCGACAGGGGCCGGCTTCGTAGCCACTGATTAGAGAGAACCGACGGCGGGAGAACATAGGCGCCCCACCTCTGGGCCTGCTTTGCTACTCACTTACATGCCCCGCGTGTTCTTTCAAAGGAGCAAAACAGAAAACCGAGGCGGCACCAGTTCCCCAGCCATAGTGTGTCTCTCTAGACACCACGACGCCGGTGGCTAATGCAACCGCTTCCAACTGCAGCCGCGTCAAGCTGGCGAAATCCCCCCGACCCAACGAAGCGAGCGCGTCCAGGTTGAGCGGTTGCGGCACCTCGCCCGAGTTGAGATAGGTGACAAGCTCCGCGCGGGTGCCGACTGCTCTGGGGCGAGTGATAGCCATGTCCTTCAACAGCGCGTGAAGCTCGACCAGAGACATCTTCTGCAGCTGCTCGAGGCTTGGCATCTTTGCAGCCAAATCCATCGAGCCCAAGACCATACCAGGCCCATCCGCTACAGCCTCCGCCGCTCGCTGGGCCTCTTCATCTGCATGGGCAGCAAGCTCCCCGGTCCATTTTGGAAGAGGTAAGACATCCCCCAGCGGCTCGGTGTCATTGTCGTGAAAAATTAGAAAAATAGCGGGGAATCAGTGAAGCGAGAGAAGCTCGCACGGGATAACACTGACCCAAGCCAAAAGATAATCCGCCAAACCATAACAAGAGCCCCACTACCATCTTCGCCTTCGTCTCGATGTTGTCGCGATTGCGCCACAGGCAAAAATGAAAAAAAGAGAACGACCGACGAGGAAGCCCCGCAGGTGCCTAGACTTTTGCAACCAGACAGAGAGAGGCGTGGCCAGTCCCCTGAGAAAAGAAGAGAGACACACGCACGCCCTGAGCATGAGCTATCTACTTAAACAAAAAAGAGCACCCTGAGGGGCTTGATTCCCTCCCCACTTGAGGGAGGCCACTGCTTCTAGGGGTTGACGCTCTGAGACTAGCTACGCGGTTACATAAAAGAGGGCGGCGTAGAAGTCGTCACGCTTCGCGCGTAACGCCTCCGCCTCTTGGAGATGCGGGGGGAGGCGCTTTACCGGATCAAACTGCCACCCCTCCACATGTTTCCACATATTTTCGACGCACTGGCTCCCGACCTATTTTTAGAAGCTTGCCAGACTACCAACCCCGAGGCGAGTGGGCCAGCCTTGACGAGTTTCGCGAAGACCAAAAGAAGAAGACACGAAACAACTACGAGCCCACTCGCCTCATAAATAAGGAGAGAAAGCACGCGGCCGCCTTAATCTTTCATCGATGCAAGATCGAGAAACCAGTAGACAGCATCTTGATGGTTGCAGAAGAAGTGCGTATACGGCGGGCGGCGTGTCTCGTTGGCGAGCAAGCAGGTGGCTGCATTGTTCACGCGGTGCATCGGATGGCCGTCGGTGTGGAGGTCGACGCGGTCGGGCCGCCATCCCTGGCAGACACGCGCATACTCATAGAAGCCATCAGCTGGGCGCTGCCACAACGCACGCTGCGCCTTTCGCAGATTGATATCAGCTCCAGCGGGTAACCGGTAAGCCCGCACCGCGGCGGTGGGTATGTTTCCTCGCTGTGTGCTGCCGATAATCACCAACGACGGCGCGGCCAGGTACTCATCCACCTCGGCGGTCGCGATGCTCTCACCACTTGCACCATAAGCCAGCAAGCACCCGGCCGCGTCTTGTGCTGCCTGCTGCTTTGCTGCCAGGACGGTGCTCACCCTGCGGCAGAACTCGCAGACAGTGGAGGCACCGAGCCCGACCACATGCACCATGTGCGCCGTCGTCCTCTTGTGGGGCCGACAGGTAAGGAGACACAGAAGCCGCCGGGGGGACATCTCGCCGCGGTATCGCTGCCCATTCCCTTGCATGCAGGCGCAAGAGACCCGCGGGGGCCTTCGGTCGGCAGACATTACGCCGGCAAGCGAAGCCGGTGCTGGAGCTGTCTCCAGATGTCCAACGTAAAGGAACACCACAAGGACACAACGCGCCAGCCAGAGGCGGGAATAAGGCCCGCATCAGTTGCGCGGCATTCATTTGGGGCACCGCAGTCACTGGCGAGCATACTCGGAGCTGCCTATACTCCCCGACCGGGATCAGCCCACAACTTAGATCATGCTTTTGGTTAAGTCCTCCCCTTGGGAGCGCATCTCTCTGAGCGCGGGTTCTCCCTTCCGACCCTTTCAGAGGGAGGCGCTTCCTAAGAAAAGCGAACTCCTGCAAGCCTTAAGCAACCTGCGCCACCCGTCCGGCTGTACGCCCCCGCGACGTTGTTAGACGTCAGCTTCCTCAGACCGTTGGCGGCAGACCGCAAGGCACCAGCTCCAATCTCGACCACGTCCGTCCGCAGAGAGTCATACTTCGCCGACTCGAAAAGAGGGCCCAGCAAGTGCTTGCGCTTGATACAACTGAAGGCCTCATGGGTGTGCACATTCGCCAAGTGAAAAGGCGAACCGCATAGGCTGCACACGTGTGACCCAGTCCCGTTATACGGCCGGAACCACGGCAAACAGCGGAGCAGATCATCGACGAGGTGCGTGCGCGGGTAGGCGGGCGGCTTTTCCTGGATTGCTCGCTTGCGGTTTTGCTACCTGGCTGCCTACTCTCTCTGGCTCTAGTCCAGGTTGGCTGATTCAGCGAAGCAGAGGAGTACTGTACAGACAGCAGAAAAAATTTCCCCACTCGAGTGACGTGAAGAACCATACCAAGGGAAGCGGGTTCTCGGTTCAGGGTTCAGGATTCAGATGAGACATCGCGTCGCCTGCCATTTAGA